AAACATGATTTTATACACTCTTTTTAATATGCTTGATATATGTTTTCTAAATTAAAATGCGTGTCTATATTAATCTGTGAACACTATAAAATTCTATGGTATCAATTCATTGTAGATCTCACATAATGATGACACAGTTATAGTCTCACAAAAGCAATTACAAGCTGCTTATCTACAATGAGAATAAATAAAGCAGACAATATACTAACGCTGGTTAGTCAAAAAAGCTTAGCAGCAAACAGCTTAAACATATACTTTAAGCTATATACAGTCACCGACAAATAAACCATCGTTCGATGACTGTATATAACATTAGGGATATTGGTATCCCTATATACAAAGCTGGAACCCTTCTATTCATGGAGGATACCTACTTCCGGTCTGCTGCAACAGACACTTTCCACAATTTACCACTGAGCCGATCAAAAAAATTATTATAAATATGTCCTTGCATATTAGTTGCGATAAGAACATTTTGTAGTAAATCCAGATTCTTACTATAGAATTTAAATAAAATCCTTGCCTTGGCCGCCATACCATGTTATGATTGTTAACCTCTTTTTAGACCTGGCATAAAACAACTGTAATCTGGTCATCAATACTGCATTATTTATTGTCATGTAAATTACATAATTTAAATAATTACATTTATCTACGTTTATGCACGGAATACTATTATTATTATAATCTGATCAGATTGATTACACTCTTCGGTAATCAGTGTCAATTGGCTACTAATTAAGTATTTACGAACTAACTGAATTGTAGTGTATTTTGCTTGTAGAGAGTAAACAACTGTATGAAGATTTGCAGTTGTAAACATAAGGGGATAGTTTTGTATAAAAATGACATATTTATATAAAGCTTAGAACCTGTGACTCGATTACTAACACGTGAAACTATTAAGAACTGTGAAGTGTATATTTCCACTGTGAGCAGACCATGATAATTAATGACACTGAACATATGGTGTTCCAACTTTCAACAGTTTGTTTACAACCATTTGTTTAAAAGCTATAATTTTTGTTATTTAATAATGTGTGTTTCTCAGTGAAAGTTGATTTTCAGTTACAATGATTTTATCTCATCGAATGTGCAATTTCCAAATAAGTCGATGACATGTTTATAAATCAGAGCAAAAGCCATAATTAGTTTGTTCCCTGAGGTCTTAACTCGCTGGACCACATGTAACTCGAGTGGAAGCCATTTTTCTAAGAGATGATAGCAAGTGTTTTATGTGTACATAATTACAGATGCTTGTATAAGTAACAAGTATAACACAAAATATGCTGTTGGGCGAACATATCCTCATATGTGCATATTTAATGACGTCATATCTTACTAATTGCCAGAAAGTTATTGCAAATATGCATACTGTTCAGCGATTTATCTCTACATGAAATTGCTGCGATAAATGGGCATTTACTACTAAATGGATATTATTCATGTGGATGAACGTATTTAGTCAAGACATTAGTAAGTCGCATGATCTTATTAATTACGTACTTATTATATTCTCAGACCATGCCGTCTATATTTACATTCTACACTGTTTTAACATGTCAATAGTGACTTCATCCACGGTACATTAGTTGGGCTGTTATTTTATGTTAGTTTATTCAGCCCCTGAATTGTAAATAGCTGGTGTTACTAAAATAAAAATGATGGTGATCGCCAGCGCCACACAATAGCCAACAAATTATACGCATTGTGTATACATCTAATATGATTTTATACATAATATGAATTATGGTATAATATAAAGCTGTACTCACTAGTCATACGTGCATGACATACGCACGGAAGAATTAGGGTGCATAACAATGTAAGAATATTTTCCATAGTAAGTCGAGACAGTAAAGTCCGTACGCTAGAAAAGATGAGGTCAGTCAGTTGATCCTGGAAACTAGACTAGCGTTCGCCACCCAGTTTAGATTACCCTGATCCTGGAAATCAGACTAGCGTTCGCCACCTAGTTTACATTACCCTGATCATGGAAATCAGACTAACGTTCACCACCCAGTTTATATTACCCTGATCCTAGAAATCAGACTAGCGTTCGCCACCTAGTTTACATTACCCCAGTTCAGTTACATCCCATTCGTCATGAATTTAATTGGTATGAGGAATGCAGCTTGACTCTTATGTTTTCATATCCTGGGAAGTTGTAGTTACTGTTTGGCGGCAAGTTCATTATTGTTATTATATTGTACCGTTATCAATATCAGTAAATTGGCTGTTTTCATTAAAAATTAAATTGAGAAATAACACCACGCTGAAATATACGAAAAAAGATACTGCATCACCAAACCTTAAATCGCACAATTATACAACATTCTCCAACTACATTAATTTCACCCATGATCATCACACAGGCAAAATATGAGGAGGATATTTCAAAATCCTGGGGTTGATTTCCAAAATTTGAATTTAGCTTCACCCCCCTTTGTCAAAATATTTTTTTTTTTATTTTATTTTTATATTTTATTTATGAACTATTAATAAATACATTCAAAGCATTAACAATTTCATGTGTTTGTGTCAACATGTGTAGAAATTACTATAATAAGTACAAACATTCTTCAACTTAACTTAACCCGAGGCATTTTTCAAGGCCTACATGAAATGACTATTCCATGTTATTGGTTATCCACCCCCAAAATATATTTTCCATTTTTTATCAGAGCTCTTTGATAATGTACACATTTGTGTGGATTTATGTACTACAGTTTACATGAATATGTTGGTATGTTTATGTCTATTGTGTTTAATAAGAGTTATCAACGACTATTTCTGTATAACTAGATCCACTTCTACCCATATCCCATAGTAAAAAAACAAATATTTTACAAAATAAAGATAATATGATTGGAAAATTTAAAATACCACTGTTACAACTTCAAATTATAGCACACCAATTGATGCATTGTCTATTTGAAATTGGCATGCAGACTGGTTTGAGGATATTTAACGCTGAAATACAAGTGATATGTCATGCTACACAACAAACATCATATTGGAACATTCTGAATTTGAATTTAAGTAAAAGCTGACAGATTAAACATTACTGTGCTTTGAATAAGCTTGGGATATATTAAAACTTGTTCAGATATTTTAGTTCAAATGAGTTGAAACAACAATGAACACATTCAACCAGTTACATTGGGACTGACTTATGCAAACTGAAAGGTGTGTAATGAGTATCCTTTAAGGCGGGGGTGTCGTCACCTGCGCATGCGTCAGATGGCCATAACGTGTCATTGTTTACAAACAAGCGTCTACCCATGAGCCTTTGCGTTTTAGCTCATGATGTTATCTTCGCTTGGTACTCAGTTCCCACGCGTGCGCAGGTAACGACCCTCCCGCTTTAAATGTGGCAAGCAGAAAAAACTATCACTTATTCAAAGTTGTGTATATCTAACAGCCATAATTCAACATAGATAAGTATAGAGAGTGACGAACATAAATACTAAGAAACAATTATCAACGTGAAAACATATATATTTTTGGGTAATCGATCTTAGATCATTAGATTAAATTAAAGTAGGTGTTAAACCATATCATTACAATGGTAATTATATCAGAATCACACAATTTGAAGTCTGGAATTTAAGAAAAAATCAAATTGACCTTCAGTGGGAGTGCTCAGTGATTTGCATAGCTTATATACCATTGTTATAAAGAATTGGTTATCAACTATATAGTACTTGTATACACAAGAAATTGTTATATAAACAAATATGGGGGAAAAAGGAATTATCTTCATTTCTTCTCAAATACAAATAATTTCATCACTATCATTGTACAGGATGGTGGTATATACGTCTGGCCATATTCAGTAGAAGACATTAAAACACGTTTTTAATTCAGTTTGTTGTATTGAGTATGTTTATCTTGTCCGTATCATTGTAGATGAATGTCAATGTGTACGTAGAGGCTGGCCTTGTTTTATTGACTTCGTCAACTTTTTCTTGTGATAACATTAACTCACTGTTTTCATCCAATTTCTCCCAAACTATAAATATAATATCCAAGTTTGAGATCTAGGCAGAGTTCGATTGTGGTATGTGTTCTATGAATGTTTTGTATAACATTTCTTTCATTTAGCACCCAGTTTGCATGCTATGTCTGAAATGTTACACACACAATTTAGATTAGTTATAGTTGTTATAAATGCAATTAATGTTGCATCACCATCAAGAATCGTTTACATTACTTTTACAATAAACGTTCATGTAATTTAACATGTATATCTAAATACAATCACAATGGGCCAGTCAATAACATTACGGTAATTACTAAGAATATAATTTTAACAACAAACTAATGTACGTGTATTGTCATAGTGCATCTATGTTCGAAGTTTCATGGAAATGTTGTGATTAGTATTTGAGATATCATTGGAAAGGTCGAAAATTTAATTATTATGCAAATTAGGTAATACATATGTGCGGATTTGTACCCAAAAATATTATCAGGATTCATTGACACTGATTGGTTCTTGAGATATCCGTGGGATACATATACACATGCACACAGTCAAGAAAATAAAAATCATTTCGTCTTTTATTTAGGTTTGGGATGGATTTGTTTTCTTACAAATGTTGTTGCATTGTATTTTATTTCCGCTTGTCCATTTGGGAGATAGGCGTTCTGAAAATTTTCTCATAGAATTCCTCTTTCCAAAATATATATTAACTATATTTTACTATCACTGTAATAACCTTTACTCTACTTCACAATTATTTCACAACGTCAATTGGAGTAAGTGTTTCTGGTATACAATGCCCAATTAACCTATAAACCTAAAGGTCAATGTCGCCACCAATTATCTATAGTGTCATTAATATACACATTTCTGCGAAACGTGATTGAGGGCACTGTTCGCAAATTCACCGAAGTATGCTACGGTAAAAAAACGTAGAATGTATGGAACGTCGACTAGCTTGGGAGATAGCACTGCAGAGTTACCAGGTTCAACCCAGAGGAATACACATTAATTAATTACAGATAGTCGAGCTTTATTTCTCAAAACAGACAGCTAAGTAACGTTTCTTTCATAGTCTTACATACTCCCCCAATAAAATTCAAAGGTTGGAGCGGTTCAAGATGACTTACAACCTTTGCAGCAAGATAGTGTTTGCTTTGTTCTACACTTGATGGTGGCGTTTCCCTGATCAGCGTGATGTGTGATATTCTTTAATTTATAGGGATTGTCAACATAGTTATTTAAAATTCTACTGTACGTAAATTAAATATCCTATATTTCTTGTGTATCTACATTGTATGTGATCAAAAATGTTAAAATAATCTGTATTCTAATCAACGAATTTTATTTGTACTTGCATATATAATATTACAAACACTAAATATGTTGTTATTACGTATAAGCCATCTACTCAGTCTTGTCCAGAATGCTTTCCGGAATCACACAGTAGAAGTCGCTGTTCGCAGTCACACCATTCGGCAAAGCATTATTTCTTACTGCATCCAGTAGTTGAGAGGCAAACTTCGAACCTTTCTCCAAATCTGTGAACTCTGCACGTGTAACGTACAGGAAAGGGCTGTTGGTGAACGGTTTGTACAAAGCAATGTCATGAAAACCGGCTTCTTTAGGTGACTGTTCTTTGATCAGACTTGCTCCAGACCATTCTTTCCAGCTTGACTCCATCTCACTGACGTCAATGTTTTCACCCTAAGTGACGAATAAATACGATTTGTTGCGGTTTAATATGTGAACAATTCGATTTTAAAGCGCGGTGGTCCTCGCGCGGCGCGTGTTCGAATTTCATGTAAATAAACAAAGTATTTTACGCGCGTTGTATACGTCGCTATGAGTCGCATATCGAACAGGACGCGGCGGGACGACCACCGCTCTTTTATTATATTATATAATCGGCAAGCACATCCTATGATGTTATATTTTGTTTTCGAATTACACAAAGCAGTTTACGATATAGTGATTGTTGTATGCAGCAACAATACCTGGTAAGTCGACACCAGAAACACTGATGTATCTTTCAATGGTTTCGCTGGCGTCATTGGTTGACCGCTGAATGTTGCAATTTCGAAAAACCCACCTGTTTAACAAAGTACAATAAATATTACATTACTTTTAATGAGTTGCAAATTATGATCACTATTCGCCGAATCCTGGCGAATAGACCGCTGCGATCTCGTTGAGAGCGAGAAAACCACGAGACTTGTTTTGTATCTCAAATATTGTTCAATTCTTTTTTGTGACCACTGGTACAAGTATCATGGGTCAGGGGAACAGTGAACACGATGAACCAACTCTCGCGTGAGTGAGACGACGTCTTGTTTACATTACATCGTTCCATGACAACAGTGTCGGGTGATTTAATTTCTTTTTGTGGATTTATAAGGTCTATTCTGATTCTGAAGTTTGACAAGACGAATCAAATTGTATGACATTCAACAGTAATCTCCACGTAAAATATTAGATTATTCCACAACACTACAAGTTCGCTTCCTCGGGTGCGCGCATGTGCTTTCTGCCATTCTCACAGACATCAGTCCTTCACACGATTGATCACATGACCATTCTCTGCCATGAAATGTTTAATATTGCGAATGCATTAAAAAAAACTGTCTTTGGTGGCCAATACCAGAAATACCGTGTTGACAAGTACTACCTCGAAGTATACACACTGAAGACGTAATTAAGTGGAAGTCAAAATTACTGACGATATCAATTCTTCCCTTAGATAGCGTGTACCGGTCATGTGACAGAATATGATGATAGCTACGCGGTTCTCTTTTATAATAAAAAAGTGTTTAATTTCACTGCACAATATTACCTGGTATTGCCTCACGTCCGCTCGCGACGCTTTTTTTCATTTCTTCTCTCCATTCAGGCGTAGCCAACTCACGCCGAAAACCAGCAAATTGGTCACTGTTGAACTGGGCATAATTGACGTATTTGTACAGTCCACCTGCAAACAAAATTAAGACTGGTTAGTTTAGATTATCACATCTCACTGCTGTTACGCATGCTATGATTGGTTGAGACTCGGTCACATGACATGGAATAAAGTTGGATATTACATGGTATATTGCCCGCCAAGTGGATTTTACATGGGTATATCACATGGATGACGTCACTGAAACTACTGCGCAACGATACTGCGCATAACAAATTGTCGTTCGCTGCACTGGTGCTGCTCTGGCCGCTGTTGCTTTCGGGGTTGATTTCAGGGTTTTGAAGGAACTTTAGCCATCCGAAATAGACAGTGAACGTGCCAGAATGGATATTAAGTAAGATACTCTGTTTTGATGTATAGGGTATTTTTTATATGGATCGAAAATGTACGGCAAAGCCGCCACTGAAACGTCGCAGCCGGCCCGGGGTCGCTGCAGCGCGTTCTACGCTGTGAGCATTTCTACGCGTTCCACGCCGATGCTAACCGAAAACACTCTAAACAAAGCTGTGTGGCTTGTGAATAGGTGTGGTACGTTCGTGAGAAAGTAATTTCAGTCACTTCCACGGCACTCTGACAATTTTATCTGTATAGTGATCAAATAACTTGCGTTTAAGAATTTTTCAATTCATTTCAAAAATGTTATTCTCGATAATTTGAGTGATCCACACTGCTGAAACACGGTTCAAATAAAAAGACTATCCATGGCTGAAAATAACATTTACTGAGTGTATTTCGTTGTTTTTCAGCAAACAATGTATGTATGTTTTTGAGTAAAGTGAAACTTGTTGTAATAGATAAAATATAATATTACATACTTCAATATAAGTGTTGTTATTTTGTGGGAGAGCTGGTGTGAGTGATGCATGGTAGCTGTGATTGTCATGGTGGATGTCTGTTCGATGTGATAAAATAAATAACACATGGTTATTCGGGCAATGTCACGATTTGTTGTCTGCCCTCGGGTTGTTGGTCATGACCATAATATTGATGATGCCAGAGCCGATCAATACTATGGTCATGACCACCATCCCTTGGGCAGGCAACAAAACGTGATATTACCCTCACAAGCATGTGTTATTATTTAACTAACGCTAAATGATCGTTGTGTGGGTGAGTATGTTTTACAGTCATATTAATATCCAATCGTATTAGTAACAACGGGAACAACAATCTATTAAAAAAATAAACACCTGAAAATTATTACTATATTGCCGTCTATAGGTAAGAGTCACGTCTCCACCGTACGTGAGTACAGTAGAATATTGGTTAAAAGAAAATAGAGAGTTATGTCTAATGTAACATTCTAAAAGAAACTGGTACGATAACTTTTAAATCAACAGTTTGTTAGAAACCGACGAGATCTCGTTAAGAGCGAGAGAGCTACGCGATTTCTTTCGCGCCCATCCCTCACCATCCAAATAGTGCTCTATTTTTTACTGTCTTCGCATAAATGGAAAGGTCACAACTAAACCACGATTTGCGATACACGACGGCGAGAGGGAATTGAACATTATTTTAGGGTAGTATAAATATTGTGTAAGTTTGAATGTTACATGTGTGTCTCAATCCATGCTGCTTAGCAAGCTCAATCGTTTTTCCTTCGTTTCACCAGGGAGCTGTAATGAGAGAGGGGAGCTGTAATGAGAAGGTCCTTCTCATTACAGCTCACAGCTCCCTGATTTTACAGCTCCCTGGTTTTACCAATTGCCTTTGTCTTAGGATTATCAACAGCTTTGTTCTAAAATTATGCAACTTCAATCATTGCATAGGTATCACTCTTTAAGCAGAATACAGAGGTTCTCATCAGTAGACACATTCACAGCCTGAGCATAGCATAGCATTATTTTCATGATTCCTGAAACAACTCCACAAAAGTCTGCACAAAAAAGACTTTAATCAAGACTAGCATTATCTACAGTCAACCGAATGAGCAACAAGGTATGGTCTTTCATCGAAGTCCATATAGATTCTTACCAAACATAAATGCAATGACTACAGGACGCGTGTACACCTAGAAGAAGAGAGCATCTACAGCATAGAGCGTCCTAAACTCTCTACAGGCCAACAACTGCACAAGAGCAGATATTGGCCCGACCATATATGTGATAAGTTCCAGAGGTGAGAAACCCCTTGAAATTGTAGATTATGTCTACACTGGAAGAACCGTGGAAAGGGAGCAAGTTCTTCACCATAGTGCAAGATTGTCGGTTTAGTGAGTCATGCAGATATGCACATGCATGTATTCTCTCGGGCTGTGCTAAAGCTCAGCCACAGACCCATCATTCAAAAAAACGAGAATTAATCTCAAACATTTCTAGCTTCCTAGTTCAGCAATCGCCCTTCATTAATTTCCTAATTGGATGACTGAACTGACTGACAGCTCTGACCATGATTTCTCGATCTCTGGCATCACTATTGGTTTTTCACATGACTAATTCTGTTACTTGTTTAAAAGGGGCTCATATGAATAATTAATCTTAAGCTACTAATCCAGATTTTCGCAACAAGGTTGAACAACAAATCTTGACTGAAATTAATCATGGCCGGTAGATTTGAACAAAATATGCCCCTACATAACCAATCAGAGCATTTGGTGTTATCCTCAAAAACGATTGTGATGAAATTCGGGAAATTCATGATCCTAGTCAACCATCTGGTAACGCAGAGATAGTGCACGTTTTATGAAAATGACGTTTATCGTCCACAAAGATGGCTATCGCATCACGACTAAATGCCAAAATTCGCCACACCACGCTTGCTGATATTCAATTGTAACGTAAAAGAATTAAATAAAAATATTTACAAACGGACGAAACTGTCATGGCGCTGTGTAATCAAATTTCACTGCGGAAGGGCACAATCGGTTACGTAATTCCGATGAGATATTCATACAGTTATATAAACATAGTGATCGATATTATCTTTTCTCATGCCCTTAAAAAAATACTTTTTATGACTCGCGATCTCCGGTGAAATGAAACGTGAGAGTTCGACCATATTCAAGTTTCAGTTCGACAACTCCGATAAAATGGGCATAATATTTTGCTACACGGCGGCTATTCTCGGTGTTTACCACTCAATCGCTCAAACACTGATGACAAAAAATTATTGTAATTCGAGGCAGGTTTCATTTAACTATAGACGGCTATACAACGAACTTTGTGAATCGCGTCCGATGCATGCTAGGTGAAAAGGGGTTCCCGATCAAACGTAACCAAGATGGCGTCGCAGAGTACTTAATTTTGTCCGCGGTGTTTTATAAACACCATATCGTTGCCGAATTTGCTGTAATTTCCAAGGTATTTTTTCATTTTCAATTACTCGAGGATTTTACTTTTGTGTATTTTGAACTGACAAGTTAGTTACGCTGGTAGCAACAGCATTCACTGTAGTGTTTGTCCATTGCCTCGCAATGCTATCAGCACGCTGATCGAAACGAAACGAAAATTATCATTAATAATACCTGACTATTTCAGTGTTGAATGCCTTTGGAGAAAAAAATGTGTGAAATCAATTTTAGTTTCGTCCACAATGCGAGAAAGCCTTTCTCCCAAATGAAAAAAATAAAACTCAGTATACCACTGGAAGCTGCCACGCTAGACGTTGGCGACATTTTTGCGAGATAGTGGTGACGGAGACGTGAAATAATCATTTTGCCACCGTATATATGCAAAGTTTTGCCGTGACGCGGAGAGTTTTGGCGCGACAGGTGATAGAGTTTTGTTGCGAAGTAACAGAGCTTAACCGCAACTAATTACAGTTTTGCTGTCAAAATGTGGAGATTTGGCGTGTGTTGCCGTCAAATTGTGGTGTTTTGCAGTGAAATAATATAGTTTTGCCCTAAAGAATATTGTTTTGCCGTCAAATATTAAAGTTTTACAGTAAAATAATAGAGTTTTGCCGCGATGAACTAAATATATGTTGTCACTTGTGGGCCACCGTACATATATCATTAACAGTGACTTGTCAACCTATATGAGGTACCAGTATGTCCAGTACTTCTTCCTTACCACCTCTTTCAGTTTGTTTTGTTTGCGAATTAATTAGCATATCAAAGAGCTTATCCCGAGTGTACCAAAGAAAACTCCTGTGTGTGTGTGTGTATAGTCTCGCTTATTTACTATTAACTATTATGTGATCATTAGAGGGGAAAAACAAGCTCTATTGATCTCAACATACGTTCTTCATTATAGAGGCTCATGAAAATATTGCGAGACTGTTTAGTGAGGTTTACCGAATTTTTACAGTGCAAGGTTAATCGGGCGCTATGAAAAGTGAAATAATTTCTTCTCATTCTCCCTGTCTAACATAAATTCAGCCCAGTTCCCCCAAGTCTGTGGTGTTGGGTATTCGATTGAATTAATCAAATTGAATTACTCATGATCTAACTAAACTGAAAAAAAATCGAGTTTCTCTGGTTTGCCGTGGTACAAGTCAGTAATTCTATATCTTGTCGTGCGGAAAAAAAGTGTAAATTTACCTTCTTGGTCCAGGTTTTTGTGAAGCTGCGTTCTCATGAAGTGAGGATTCTGATTTACCAAGTCGGCTGTATGCCTCCATCCCACTACGAATGCTTCATGACCTTCAGAGCCTATTTTCTTGAAAAAGTTGAGCAGGTTGTGAATTTTAGCGGACATGTTTCACCTGGAAAGACTGAGAGATGTAGAGAGCGTTGTAAGGTTACTTCTCCTTACGTGAAAACAATTACGCGCAATCCTTACTCTTTTCTCACAGTTTTACTTAATTCGTGGTTTATATACATCTACGTTATAGCATGGCAGGTTCCATGGTTATAGTGGATTATTGGCGGAACAGCGGGAAGAGGGTATATGGTGGACTGTAATCAGCAGATAACCCGGCGTTTAAACGTTGGCTTTGAGATTTTGGGTCTTTCACTTCAACTCAACGCTTGAAATATTACG